TGTTATTTTGTGTTTCAGTCTCTTCATCCTCCTCCTCATCCTCACAGACTGAGATCAGTGCAGGCCGCTCTGTGACTCTCTTCTGTCAGTTGTATTCATATGATGGAGGCTCTTGTGATGATTGGATGCGTTCTGAGAGAATTGAGCTGTTCTGGGTGAATCAGGCTGGTGTTAAACTGACGAGATCAGACTCCAGATATCAGATATTATCCTCATCACATCACTGTATCATCACTCTGAATACAACACTCCTGAATGAAGATCACAACAGAGAGTGGAGATGCAATGTTACTCAAAGAGATCAAGTCAAGAACTCCGTCAAATACACTGTCAAGAGTTCAGGTAAGAAATTAACTTTCCTGACTCAATTTCAGAAGACTCTCTGATACAGACACATGACATGAGGATTAATAATGCCATTCATTCAGAAGAACTGAAGGGTTGCATATAAACAAGGTATAATTTGCTTTATGTAATCATATGTTGCCAGTGCTATTTCTGAGCATAAAAGGGTCCTAAGATAAATCTTAAATGATAATAGATGACAGACTCATGAAGCAGTGGAAATTCAAACATATTTATCATTTCTGTGATGTGAAGCTCAAGTATGATGTGATGTTGATGATGTTTTGTTTGTGTTCATTATGTTTGAACTGAACTAACATACAGTATATGATCACAGATCCAGCAGAACCTGAAGTCAGTGGGACTGCTGGATCATTATTCAGAGGTACTACACCTCTTTACATTGTTTATTGTTTCATATCTTTGATTTCATTCCCAGTTTCACAGATAGAGTCTCTCTGTTTTCTCTTGATTGTGTCTCTCATCTGTCCTGCAGAGATTTTGATCATTCTTAAGACTGCAGTGTTTGCTGCTCCTACTGTGACTCTTCTTCAGATCATCTGTGCAAGAAGAGCTGGTGAGTTTTTCAGATGATTCACATTGATCTGTTACAATCTGCACTCATGAGAGCTCAGTAAATGCTTTTGTATTTAATTATTTTGCAGGGAGGAAGGACTCGCAGCACCCAGAGGAAATAGCGCTGAATACAATATCAAAATAAAATACTCTACAAATAACCGATTACAGCAAGATTGATCTTCATGCCAGTGATATTATGGATATTTGCATACAGTTTATGTGGATATTTTCCATACTGTACTGAATGTTTTAAATATAATTTTAAATATAGCGATCAACAGAGCAAGACAGGCACCTTTAATATCCATGAATGGTTTTTACAGAAATCTTAATATTAATACATGGTAATTTTCTATCCTTGACTCATCTGATTGTTACATTTAACTTTTAAAATGTTTTAATAGTCCATATTAATTGATGATGCAACTCATGTCTGTTAATTATAATATTGTCACAGACTTTTATTGTCCATTCTCGTTAATTCATCAGTTAAACATTTAGCCTATGTTTGTTAGATTTGACCTCCTAAATGTGTTATTGAAGACTTTTAACCTAATCTTCTTCATCATCAAATATGCGTGACAAATTTTTTTTTTTACAAAATCCAAGACTTGAAACCACTTCCGTTAATGATCCCCCATTGTGGGGAAACAAGGAGCGGAAGTGTTTTTGTTCCAGTATGGCAGAGACCTACAGGTAAACGTGGAGGATTTCCTTGACCTCTGCCATCATGCCACCTGCGATGGCTGTTTGATTGAGTGATTTTGGTGTGGACTGGATGAAGATCTCTGCTTCGTCATGCCCCGTGGCGATCCCTGCTAAACCCTGGAGGCTTACATCAACTTCGTACTGTGGGTGAATGGATCCGCATTCACAGAGGGCGAAGCGGAGGATGACAGCAGCCTCGTCCAGCCACACCTCACAGACATCATGCAGCCAGACACAGAGCACAGCCCACCAACACCCCTCACCATGGAGATGACTAAGTCCCCCGCAGATGGAGAGCTTCCACTCAGCGCCTGTGACAACAGCACCTACTAAGACCCCGGAGCAGAAGCCCCAACTTGAATCTAACCAGGGATGCAAGCCGTCAACAGCCGTCCCTGAGGAAATTTTGATGGAAATTGATACTGGGGAGGACTTGCTTATTGACTGGGACACTGTAAAACAGCCTCCCACCCTGACCTCAGTACGCTTTCTCAATCATCGCTGGTTTTAGCCAGCACAGAGACTGAATCTTCACCCTGTAGGAACTGTAAATTGTTATCAGTGGTCCTGCCCAACCTCCCTCTCCCATCTCATATCTTCACTATATAATACTTCCAGTCCTCCAACCCTGTCTCAGCTGGTTTTCTGCAGCCCTTCGTCTTCTCCCCTGATGCCTTTCAGCGTGGATAATCCTCAGGTCATGCAGTCACCAGCCTCCCCTGAGCAAGAGAATCCTGTGGCTCCACCTCCGGTCTCTGATCCCTTCACTCCACCACAGCCCGTCGACCTGTTGGATCTGCTTGACTCCTCCCACTCTCAGCTCCACCAGAGACGCTCGGCCTTATGGCTCCACCGGGTTTCCTTGTCCCTGCAGCTTCACCTTGGTCCGTTGTCACTCTGCCTGTGCCACGGACATCTGACCCTTGCACTGTGCTCCGTCTCTCCACCCCTACGACATCAGCAGGCTCCTCCTTCGCCCAGCTTGGTCCTCAGTCACACCGGCTCTGCTTCAGTCCTCAGGCACTCAGGTTCCTCCTCGGACGCTTGTCGCTGAGGCTCCGTCTAGGTCTCCAGTGCCAATGGTGTCACTCAGCGCCATCGGCTTTCCGTCATCTCCCTGGGATCCTCTGACATCAGCTCTGTCTCTGTCAGTAGTCCCGCGGAGGGTGTTGGCAATGTCTAAACCTTGGCTCCACTGTGGGCTGTTGTCTTCACAGTGCTCTGGGTCTCTACCATTTGGCCACTCTTCCCGTCATCATCCTCATGAATGCTCCCACCATCTGTTCCTCTGTGGAGTCTCTACAGTTCAGCCTGCCTGTTATTGCCAGCCTTTCACCTGCTTCTCAACCTCCGCCAAAGCCCCCTCCCTCCCTACCTCCCTCCTTCCCATCGCCTGTATGTCTTTGTTTTGGTTACAGCACAAGGTCTCGCCTTTTGGGAAGGGGTGTTATGTCACAGACATTCATTCTTAGTTTTGTTATTATGGACTTTTAGTTTGTTTTCAATAGTTTCCTGTTGTCCTTTGTTCAGTTTTCCCACCACTTTCGGTTATCATGGTTATTCATTTGATCAGCACAGGTGTTGTTTATTATTTCCCTCATTTGCTCAGTATTTAAGTTGCTCTGTTTCCACCTTTTAGTTGTCTGGTATTGTTTGTGTTTGTGGTTAACACACTGTTGCGCAGTTTGGCTATCTTTTTGAGTTCTTTTATAAACAATGTTATTTTTATCATCTTTTTTAATAGTGTTCTTAATAGTCTTTTTAATAGTCATCTTGGGACTATTCATGACAGTTTGAGTATAAAACTATTTGCTGATATCTGACACATTGTTAATATAATATAACACTACAGTTATCCAACAGAGTCAAGTCAAATCAAGTCACCTTTATTTGTTTAGCGCTTTATACAATACTGATTGTGTCAAAGCAGCTTTATAGTGTCAAACAGGAAAATAGTTTGTCTATGATGCAAGACAATAACAGAGTCATTTTTTCAGTTAAAGTCAGTTCATTGATGATTCAGTGATGTCATCATCCAGTTCAGCTCTCTTGCAAAAATCAGTCAAGCAAAGTAAACAGTGACGTGACGTGTGACATGTGGCCAAGTATGGTGACCCATACTTGGAATTAGTGCTCTGCATTTACCCATCCAAAGTGCACACACACAGCAGTGAACACACACAAACCGTGAACACACACCCGGAGCAGTGGGCAGCCATTTTATGCTGCAGCGCCCGGGGAGCAGTTGGGGGTTCGGTGCCTTGCTCAAGGGCACCTCAGTCGTGGTATTGAAGGTGGGAGAGAGCGCTGTACATTCACCCCCCCCACCTACAATTCCTGCCGGTACAAGACTCGAACCCACAACCTTTGGGTTATGAGTCCGACTCTCTAACCATTAGGCCACGACTTCCCATGGCAAGGAACCAAAACTCCATCGGTGACAGAAATGGAGAAAAATCCTTGGGAGAAACCAGGCTCAGTTGGGGGGCCAGTTCTCCTCTGACCAGACGAAACCAGCATGACATGGTTTAATTCCAGGCTGCAACACAGGTGCAGAGGACATGTCTGGTTCCCGTGGTCTTGTGCCGATGGTCGTTGAGGTGACGAGTTCTTCGCAGGGGATCTGTTTCTGGGCCACATCTAGTTGACATGGTCTCTGCTGACATTCAGGGCTGTAGAGGTTGTCTCTAGGTGCTGATCCACCATCTGGTTTGGATATGGACTGGATCCATATGGTTACGGGGACCTCGGAATAAAAATAAAACAGACTAATATTAGCGTAGATGCCATTCTTCTTACGATGTAACGAGTATATCGGGTGCTATGGGAAGTGTTCCCGGTTCCAATTGATCTAATTAATGCAGCCTAACAATCCTTTAACATATTTGAATTATATAAATGTGATAGTGTATTATGTGTATGCCAGGTTAAAGAGATGGGTCTTTAATCTAGATTTAAACTGAAAGTGTGTCTGCCTCCCGAACAACACTAGGGAGATTGTTCCAGGGTTTGGGCACTAAATAGGAAAAATATGTGCCGCCCGCAGTTGATTTGATATTCTAGGTATTATCAAATGGCCAGAGTTTTAAGATCGCAGTGGACGTGAAGGACTATAATGTGATATGAGCTCACTCAAGTACTGAGGAGCTAAACCATTCAGGGCTTTATAAGTAATTAGCAAGATTTTGAAATGTATTCCTTGTTCAATAGGGAGCCAGTGCAGAGTTGACAGAACTGGGTTAATATGGTCATACTTCCTGGTTCTATTAAGAACTCTAGCTGCTGCATTTTGGTCCAGTTGAAATTTGTTAATTAATTGTGCAGAGCAACCACTCAATAAAGCATTACAATAATCTAAACTTAAGGTCATGAATGCATTAATTAACGTTTCTGGATTTGACATTGAGAGCATAGTTCGTAATTTAGATATATTTTTTAAGATGGTTGATGATGGTAAGATGTTTTCAAAAGAAAGATTGCTATCAAATAGCCATATGTAGGTTTCTAACTGATGACGCGGAATTAACAGAGCAGCCATCAAGTGATTGATAGTGTTTTAGATTATTACATGCAGAGGTTTTTGGTCCAATAATTAAAAAAAATTTTTTTCAGAATTTAGCAGTAGGAAATTACTAGTCATCCAGTTTTATATCAACTATGCATTTTATTAGTTTTGCAAATTGGTATGTTTCATCTGCCGTGAAGAAATATAGAGCTGAGTATCATCAGCGTAACAGTGAAAGCTAACACCATGTTTCTTGATGTTACCCGTGGGAGATATCATGTAAAGCATGAAAAGCAACGGTCCTAGTACTGAGCCTTGTGGTACTCCATACTGTACTTGTGATCGATATGATACCTCGTCATTCACTGCTACGAATTGATGATGGTCAGATAAGTCTCAGTACTATGATACAATCTAAATATTGACTGGAAATCCTCACACATACCATTTCAGTGAACACCAAAGAAACTGCCTAGAATCACCCATAACACAACATGACATTTTCAGCCCTACAACTCATGCCGAACAATAAAGCACCAGGTCCTGATGGATCTCCTGCTGAGTTCTACAAACACTTTTACATTTTATCATCACAATTCATCCGAATGATAAGTGAATCACAACAAAAATCAAAACTCTCAGCTTATATGAATATAGCCACAATCTCACTTTTTCCTCAAACCCAATAAAGACCTAGCATTACCGTCAAGCTAACGCCCATGGAATAGAAAGGGTCACATCATCTATAATACATACAGATCAGACCGGTTTCATTAAAGGTAGACTAGCATCCACCAATACATGCAGACTTTTCAACTTAATGTATTATTCTTCAGTTCAAAAAGCAAAAACCATCATAGTTACTCTGAATGCAGAAAAAACTTTTGATAGGGTCAACTGGAAATTCCTGTTTTGGTTTTGGGGAGTCA